TATATATATATATATAATATGATAATTTATGCTTATAACCAGGGGAAAAACTATTTGCCAATGCGGTATGAAAAATAAACTTAATTCAAGATTCTCTATTCTGTCTTATCATATGCTAATATCTGTTTACTATCAAGTAATATCAAGGCCAGTCTCACAGTTATTTATACCAAATACCACTAGTGATACCTATACTGCCATTTTTTATTTATTTTTTATTTAATGTTTACATCCATTCAAACATGGCCAATCACAGAGTACATGCGGACTGCCCTGTTTTGACACAAACAACATGATTTTGCTGTCTGTTTACGAAACACACGTTAATGTGTGGCATTAACCATGTGGCATTAACATGCCTGAGGGACTGAACACAGTGACTGCAGCACTACTGTGCAGACTAGAGTCAAAAGCGGAGCCCCAATGATAATCACAGGATGAAGTCCTGACTTCCTCCCAGCTGAAGACTGACAGAAGACGCCAATTAGCCAGGCAGGGTGTGAGATTGACTTGACTGGGTGGTTAGATCAGCTAGGAGGCCATCAATCTTTTAGCACCCCCACCTTCCACATCCTCTATAGTTCCCTCCAGTCTCACAGAGGGGTGGGTGACATATAGAGCATGTATCTCTTACTTTGACACTTTGCTGGGAAGACAGTAATAAATTATGTCTACCGAAGTTTTGTGCGGAGCAGATACGTGACTCAGATATTTTGTCAGTGCCACTTTCTGAGTGAGACTTTCCGACACAAAATAGCCTGTGCCTCTGTGCTTTGTTTTTTGTCACTATGTAGCCTGGCGAGGTATCAAGCACACACATGTAAATTATTCTGCAATCCTGGCATCTAGAATGACAATGTTGTTCTAAACTTTTGGATAACAGTTGGTGTATCCAAAAAGCTGGAAAAGTTGCCTTAGTTTGAATTAATTAGCGAGATTAAAGCTGCCAGGGCCTCCAGCAGAGGAAAGACAACACATAGACAGCTGCTCTATGGCTTATTCATGCAATGCTGCGGATGGCAGGAAATGTTTCAGAGTTTGGGGTAGGCAACACACCTGGTGCCTGCAAAAGATCAGAGGGCTTGCTTAAATATATTCCCACCATAAACAAATAAACACACACACACACGCATACAAACTCATTCATTTCCATGGAAGTGCAGGAAAGGGCAATGAATCAAATGATCAAGTCCATTATTTGCATGAATTACCGCGTGAAGTGGATTGCCCTGATCGATCGGCACCTTGAAGTCTGCCTGAAGCTCATCAAAGGCTGTTATCTGAAAACACAACGTAAAAAAAGGGAACACGATCATTATCATTAGGCTAGACACATGGATTTGTATCATTTGCGTTATCTTTAAGGATACACCCTCTTTTTATTACTTCGTTCAGATTTATCCTCTATTATTTCTACATCTTTGTGGAAGTAGAGCTGGGTGATACAACTGAATATATATATATATATATTATATATATATATATATGAGATACATAAAAGACCACTTAAAAATAAACTTGAATATTCAGGATCTTTCTTGAGTTGACAATATCTTGAAATCTTGAATATATCATGAATATCCACTTGATGTGACAAAAATTCATATTAGATTGCAATATTCAGATTGCAAAGGCATATTATTATCCCCTTTAGTAAGTGCATTTGAGCAAATAGGGTCTTATGGTGCCTCATGGCTATAGCTCATGCACAAGGCAAGAGAAGACAAAATTAAAGTTAGATCAAATTAGACAAGCTTATTTCCCCTGTTACAGACCAAACTGCCCTCTCTCCCTACACTACCTCTCCTGTAGTATAACAATGCTCTCTCAATTCTGTAGGCGACACGAGCAGTAAAAATGTTTGGTTTTGAAAAAAAAACTGCTTGGCTGTCAGATAAATGTGTGAGGTTTAACCGCTACATAATCAGAAAAAAATGCATTACATACACGTTTTAAATCTGGCCATCCTTTAATAATCGCATTTAAATTTGCACCACAAAAGGGGGATCATTGAACCATAGAAGCTACACAAGTGACATATAAATAACTGAAGGCTTTTTCTAAATGTTGATGAACCATACAAACCACTTAAAATGGGTTCATTTAAAATGGCCAGGTTTAAACCTGACAGCAGCATATGAATCTTAATCATAGTTGTAAGAAATTGTTCCTGTATATGTTACATGCCTTCTATAAAGAAAATCAACAAACGATGTAACATTTGCACATTGCATCCATGTGGAAACATTGCTGTTTTGTTCCCTATGTGACATCAGTTTACCCATTTGAGGATTACGTTGTATTGAAAAAAACTGAGCTGACTGGAGAACGGTACTTTATATAAATATACTTGTTAATGCACAGAACAATAATTGTTGCTCAGTAAAATGAGTCTTTAATTTTTAAAATGATTAGAAGTGATTTCCTCAAACATTCTCATATTTTTTCATGATTATAACACATTGTGTTGTCAGTAAGAGGGAAACAGGCTGTGAAAAAATTATAGATTGCTGCTTGATTGCCTGCTGTACTGTCTACAAATGATATCATGCTTGACCTCATCCATCACCTCATTCTCTAATATTGACCCAATACCTATTATTTCTAGAATTGTGTTAATATTAATCCTCTTAGTGGTATTACCCGTGATTTTGGGTTAGAGACCTTCCTAATACTAGCTCGCGTAAGGCAAATTACAAAACCAGCATAGGCTCATTGGAAAAATGTGTTGCTCCAAAACTCCAAAAACAAACCTATACATACTATTTTCACAGAAATTATGATATCAGTTACAATACTATGTTATGACCTCAAAACACTTTTACCATAGTGTATAATTTGTAAACAAATACATTTTGATGTTTGCCCCACAGCCAGTTTCATATGTATGGCTTTTCTGATGTAGTAAGCTTGCTCGGTAGCACCCCTGGTAAGCACTACATATGTGATGCAGAGTGCTTCAGGTACAACCGAATCCTGTGAATCGTGAGTCATGATAAAAGACTTGTAGAAGCAAGCTTTTGTTTACACTATCGGTTAGGTTAAGGTAGGGTTTAGTGTAGGTGGTGCATTATTTTCCAATGCAATAGAGCATTAACCTGATTTTGTGAACATAGTTAATGCACAGAACAATAATTGTTGCTCAGTAAAATGAGTCTGAAACTGAAACTGAGAAAGCAACTGAAAATCTAGTCTGTATAGCAAAGATGTTTTATTCTAGTGAAAATGACTGTAGTTCATACACTGACATTATTCAAGTCAGGTTAGCATGTGCAAGCCTGTTTAACACAGTAACTGTGATAAGCTTAATCAAGTTGCCCTCCAATGTTTAACAAGAGCTCTTTGAAGTACAGTAGCTTGCGGAATTCCTGAAATAAAAGTGCCACAATTAGGACAACCACTATACATCTCAATAATCTATTCAAGCTTCCACAGACGAACGCACCACTGCATTCACAGATAATCTGTTAAATACTGTTCTAAACTGTGCATCTTTGCACTAATGTGTTGGTTTCCACTGGCTGTGAAAGTGGACTTGAAACATCTGCTGAGGGAGCTTTTGACTCTCAGTGTTAGTTAAGCTAATGTGGGGATCATTTCCCCTCAGATGCAAAATAACACACAAGGGGAAATATGCAGATAGGCATCCCTTTGAAAAGGGCGACAGATAGATTCTGCTGTGCTCATAATCTGAGATAAAGAAAGATAGACTTAACAGTGCTTGAAAACATTTGCTACTTTTGCAAATCTCAATATTGAGAGAGTGCTGTGAGATTTCAAGGATTTTGCTAACTTTCATCACTAAACTTGCAGGTAGGTATTGTAATTACACCATTCTGGGGCAAAAAGGCAAAAATATTACGCTATAGCGTCCAAAGGTTTGGGGGCAGTAAAACTTTTCAATTAGGTTCATTACTTAACATTAGTTAACTACTTTAGTTAGCATGAACTAAGCATGAACAATACTTCTACAGCGTTTATTAATCTTAGATTATGTTCATTTCAACATTTACTAATGCATTGTTAAAATCAAAAGTTGTGCTGGTTAACATTAGTTAACATGAACTAACAATGAATGAATCTTAAAAGCATGAAATGTGCTTTCATAGGATATTGTCCCTGTCTGCTTCTTTTCACACCACAGCTCAAGATCCCTTGGGATTGTGCTCATTTGTGTGGTGCCATCAGCCAATAAGTACTGTCAGCTTGATAATTGTATATATAAATAAGAATTTATGTGTGTTATTAAAAACAAATTAACTTACAACACTTTAGGATGTTGGCTGAAGGGCACTAATCAACTAAAGTTCTGCTGATATTCAGAATTTCCCAATGTCCCAGCACTCAGTAATCATGATTTTATATATATATAT